AGCATGGCAAACTACCTCTATTGGTACAGTAGTGACTGTTATCTGGGGGATGGGGATAATCAATAGCTATCTAATTGGACTTGAAGTCCCCTTGGTAGGAATGAACTCATGAGTGGCACTGTAAACTCAGTCAAGTATACAAGGCAGGAGAGGACTTAGAGAAAACTGTATCTCTTTCAGATCTCTAGATAAATGAAATTTTTTACTATATGTTAAATTGTCAATCCTTGTATTTACAGACAAGCACCACTCATCAAAGTACACCACTCATCAAAGAAGCTTCTTTTTGAAATAGATAGAGGCTACTGAAGAATTCCACAACTGGTCAGACAAAGTATACATCTGAGAGATACCCAGTACTAGATGGCACATCACAGTTGAACCTCTACAACTAAAGCTCATGGAAAATAGCAGAATAAGGGATAGAGAGAAAACTAGTGCATCTTTCAACTCTCACCAGTAAAGCTTCCTTGTACAGCTGAGTTCAATGCATACAGAAGGCTACACCTGCCCTAGCTTTAAAGAATAAGACTGTAGAGTGTGCATCCCTGGATAGGACTCCTATCCTGTATGTCACCCACCCTGGACTCAGGGACCTTTGTGATAGAGGGGGCAGAAAGGCTTTAAGAGCCAGGGCTGGTTCCTGAACACAGGGAATCAGAGGCTTTCAGGCCACTGGAAGCTTGTACTTGTGAACTTGTGGCAATGGTGGCACTGAACACAGGACCCATGCCAACTCAATCAGACAAGGGCCCAGAGGGTAGGAGAGAGATTGGTGGCAGACTGGCCCTAGACTGAGAACTGTTGGAAACTGGTTGCTGCTGGGTGGGGGAGATTATGCCTTGTACATGATCTCTGGATGGACTGACTGGACTCCACAGGATGAATTTGCACTGACGGGCATCTGGGTGCAAATGTATGACTGGATAGGACTTACTATGTGTGGGGGAGTGCATGGGGTCTAGTGGGGGAATGGAGGAGACATGAATGGAGGAGAGGGACTGGGTTTGATTGAGAACTGTTGTATGAGAAGCTCAATAAAAATATTTATATTTTAAAAAAGGAGATAAAATCTGAACAATCTAGTACACATACAAAGTTAATTAGGAAAGTTCAAGAATGAATAATTAAAATGTCAGGGGGGTTGCACATAGTCATATAACTATTGTACCTCCAACAATATCATAGGTAGAATATAATTTTGAAAAGACCTTTATAAGATCATCTTTGAGATGATTTTGTGAAAGATTTTGAAAATTAAGGAAAGGTAATCCTACTAGTTTGCACCTTATTGTTGGTTTGCTTGTCAACTATTCAGAAACAAAGCTTTACACATTCTATTTTCTGAATTTAGAAACATGCTTTCAGGTCATTGGCCAAAAGCAAAAGAGAAGAAAGAACATATTCTCACGTTTTTCTGTCATGCTCATCTCTGCACACTTTAAGTGTGCCTGCTCTTTTTCACTCTCCAACATCTCTTTTAGTCTTCCTCTTCTTAGTAAAGCCAATGATTCATCTTTGTTTGATCTCTTTTTTTCTCATTCTTTACCTCTTTTCTACTAAAGCCAGCTATGACAATATATCATTGTTTAGTGACTATCTTTGTTTGATGTTGACATTCTGATAATAATAGACTTGCATTCTCAGCATTACGTAGACCTAAGTGAGCCTTTCTCCCACAGCTAAGAGATCATCACAGAAGATGGAGAGGAAAGATTATAAGAGCTGGAGGCAGTAGTTAAGTAATAAAACAATGTTTTCTGGACACAACAGGGCACCACTATACATATGAACTCACAACAGCTGTGACTGCATGCACAAGATATGTACAAGATCAAGTCAAACAAAATTCAAGCATAGATGGGGAAGGAGGTCATGAAGTCTCACTGCTAGTGGAGGAGTTATTGCGATTGATGGCTGCTGAGAGAGGAAGAGTCAGTTTTCTCAGGGATATGGTTCCTGAGAGACTATTTGTGCTTCAGTACGTGGTCCTATATCATGCACATACTGTCAGAACTAAGTAAACTCAGTGGGCTTAAGAAGGAAGAGACATGAAGTTGGGATGGAAAAATGTTGAGGGAGTAGGAGGAATTAGAGGGGAGGAAATGGGGGTTGGATTGATAAAAACAGATGTGTTATGAAATTTTCAAAAAAATTAAATAATATTAAAAGAAAAAATTCTTCTCTTTCCTCTTATCAATGTGAAGTGAAAATTAAAGTTAAAAGACAATTGGATCCATTATTTCTTATTTAAGTTCAAATTATACAGTGAAATGCAGCTCTGTATCTCCTTGTGGAATATAGTAAATAAATGAAAAATTAATAGAGTATAAAATTATAATGAATAATTTCATTTTTAAATTTCTGTTAAGTGCAACCTCCTGTTTGGCTGTTACATTTAGTGGGGTATAGGTTAAGCTGGTATAAACAAGAAAACAAAACAAAATTCCCAAATTTATTCTAGAAAGAGAAAATGAGGTCATTGTCTTCTCTTCATGTCAACAACCAAAGTGGCGGAGTGTCACGACCGGCTAAATAACTCTCCTCCCTTTAATTATCTACTTCCACTTAAATCAATTGTACTTTTCTCTATCGATTACCCACCCACATGATGGATGTGTCAAAGTAGTGGTGTGCATCTTTTATAAGTCCTAGAGTTGTACTTTTTGCTTTCCCCCACTAGCCACCACTTTGTCAACTTTGTCATCAGACTCGAAGGAGTTTTGTTAAGTAAGAGAAAAAGGACAGTAGCTAATCATTAGTAGTTTTGGTTGCAGTTAAAACAATTTTATTGGTTTCTCCTTGCACTCAGTCCTTTTACTACCATTGGGCCCAGGCCAGCTCCTGCTCTTCCATCTCAGATCTCTGACTAGCTTCCTAACCTGGACTCGCTTAATCCTCCAGCATAGTTTGTTAGACCATGTTCAGGCAGTCCCCACCCCCACCTTCCCCTTGGCCTCTTGATCTGCCTACAACAGACCTGCCTACTACCCTCTTAAGTCAGATCTCTCCCACTGTGCCTTAATTACCCTGCAGCCTGAGAAGTCCCACTCCCTCTTCACACTGTGTCTCCTGGCCCAAGCCCACTCCTGCTCTTTATGTCCCAACTCTCTGGACTACCCTCTTAGTCTAGACTTTCCCACTGCATCCTGATCCCCTGCACACAGACCAGTTCAGTTCTCCATATGAGTTTGTTGGACCCTCCACAGGTTGACCCCACCTAGTACCTTGACCTTGGTCTCCTGATCTGCCTGCCTTCTACACTGGTTAGTCAGATCCTACCCACTGTGCCTTGATTCCTCTGCAGGCCGAGCAGCTCTACTCTCTGCCAACACTCTGTTCCCCTTCTAGTTTTGGGCCCAAACTCGCTCCTGCTTTTATACCTCAAACCTAATTAATCCTCCAGTTTATTTTTTTAGACCCTCCTCATGGTTTTTCCACCCCTACCTGCCTCCTGATCTGCCTGCCACAAACCTGCCTACTAACTTCTTAGGTCAGATCCTGCCTATCGACCCTAGATCCCACTACTGCCTGAGAAGTTTCATTCTCTCCTGTACTTGGTTCCCTTTCTAGCTTTGGACCCAGACCCATTCCTTCTCTTTCTTCCTCAGATCTCTGAACTGTACTCTCAGTCCAGCCCTGCCCACTGCATCTTGATCACCTGCATCCAGACTAGCTTAATTTTCCAGCTTCATTTATTAGACTATCCATAAGCAGTCCCCACCAAAGTCTTTCCCTTGGCTCCACTCCTGATCTGCTTGTCTCTCACAGTTCTAGAGGCTACTATGCAAGCTGCTAAGGGAGAAAATCAATCAATGGCCCAACCCAGATGTAAAGCCTAATAATCACAATGACTAGCACAGTAATCTTTCTCCATTCATGCAGTAGTGGCACTTTTATCTTGGGGGTAATCAACAGCTATCTAGCTGGACTCAAAGCCCTCTCAATGGGAGGGAACTCATGAGTGGCACTATAAATATAGCCAAATACATATGCCTGGAGCAGTCATAGATCCTAGAGTGAACCCTAGCTCTGTTGTATCTCTAGACAAATGAAATTTCTTACTGTATGCTAAATATGAATCCTTATCTTTATAGGCAATTATACAGTACATCATTCATCAAAGAAGCCCCTTCTTGCAGCAGATGGAGAGTATTACAGTGTTCCACAACTGATCATATACAGAGACTATATGCCTGGGAGATGCCCAATCGTAAGTGACACATCTACCATGGAACCTTGACATTTAAGGCTCATGGAACATAACAGAACATGAGGGAGAGTGAATATTAATACATTCCTCAACTCTCATAGGTGAAGTTTCCTCATACAACAGAGTGTGATGCACACAGAAAGCCACAACTGGCTAAGTTTTAGAGAATAAGAGACTGCAGAGTGAGTGTCCCTGGATAGGACTCCTTTATTACACCTCACCTATGCACAGCACAGTAGTCACTGCAGAAGAGACGGTAGAAAGATTGTAAGAGCCTGTGTTGGTGCATGAACATTAGGATACAGAGGCTTTCAGGCATCTGGAATTTTATTCATATGAACTTGCATGAACATTAGAATACAGAGGCTTTCAGGCATCTGGAACTTTACTCATATGAACCTGCAGCAATTGTAACAACATGCAGAAGACCCATGCCAACTCGTTCAGAAAAAAATCCCAGCATAGAACTGAGGAAATTGGCAACAGGCCCCAACCTTAGCAGAGGAACTATGGCAAATTATTTCTTTGGGGTGAGGGAGTCGGTCTTCTTTAAGGGACTGATTTTAGATATGCTGAGTAGACTCAAGTGGATGAATTTGCACCAAAGGACACTTGGGTACAAATGCTTGTCCACATAGGGTTAAGATATATGACAGAATGCATGCTATACTGAAGGGAGATTTTTTGGGGGTGGATCACAATTGGTGGAAGGGGTCTAAATTTGATTAAGAGCTATTATATGAAATGCAAAAAAACTCAATAAAGAATATTAAAATAAAACAAAAAAGTGCATCTATTGACAAACCCAAGCAGTTACTGTCTGTTTCTAAGGTTTCCATTACTGATTCATGAAAGAAGTTTCCTCAGGCTTTCTGTCTGTCTGATTGTGGCAGCCAAAACTGAATAGAGAACACAAGAAAAACAAACAAACAAATAGAAACAATTTTATTGAAGATAAATTAATTCACCAGTTATTTGCCATCCTTCATATATATATAATTTTTAAATATGTCTTGATTAAGCTTTATTCAGATAATTATTCATATACAAGGATTAAAAAATATTTTAGTATGCCATATAATCAATATTTTTATAAAGTGCATAAGAAATAGCACATGATTTACATATATCTCCAGGCATAGTAAAAATTTGAATATGATTTGATTTCCCTCCACAGCAATGGAAAAGGCCTTAGTATAGTTTTCAGGTACTAACTAGATGTTGACAAGGCAGCTTGTAGCTAAAATTCCTTCTGGGAGGTCTAAACAACATCTGTCCCCTCTTGCCTTGGTCCCTACAACAAATTGATGTATGATTTTGCCAAAATACTGTCTTGGAGATCAGAATCTATTGAGTATACTTACAGAGAAATGGGTGCAGGTTTACCTACAGAAGAGTGGGTACTCCCTTCCTAAAGGCACAATGGAAAATTGTCATCCAAGTGAGAGGATGCTGACCTCCTCATAGCTGCACATAACGTGTCAAGAGAACCTCTCCTAGGCTTCCTCAGCATATATCCTTAGATCTTCTCCCTCGTGCAAGTAGGGATGACTGGTTGGTTGGGAGGGTCCTGTGATTCTCCTTTCCCCTCCTTCCTTGTGGAGCATGACTGTCAACAAGCTTAGCTGTGATGATCCTAGGCAAGTGAGCACAACCAAGCTTGGGAAGATGTCATCTGTCCATGATCTGCCTTTCAGAGGACAGCCTATGCAACACAGCCATATTGTAGTTGATCTTCCTCCAAAGTGCTAGGCCTCTCTTTTCTGAACCTTTATGATTAATACTTCTCTTAGAACCATTTTCTCTCCCAAACTTTTTCAGAGTTGACCCCTTACCCTCTTTAGTCTTTATTTAAATGTCCCTTTCCTAGTAAACACCACCTTCATTCTCTTCTTCAAATTTTAATAGAATAAATGATTGGTACACAGGGTATAATTTCTGTAACTAATTATTTTTTAGATAAATGCATATAGGCTAAGGTATAAACAGCATGAAACATTAAAATTAAATAATTTAAATTTCAAGTTTTGATATTGCTTTCTATTGATTTTTAAAAAGTTTAATTATTTTTATTTTTTTTTATATTTGTTTGAGTGTTATGCCACAATGTAGGTAAGTGCACCTGTGTTGTGGAATGCCAACGGAGGACAGAAGAGGCTGTTGGATCCTTGGAACTGGAGTTATGGGTAGTTGTTAGCTGCCATGTGGGTGCTGGGGTTTGAACTTGGGTCTTCTGCAAGAACAGTCAGTGTTCTTAACTGCTGAGCCATCTTTCCAGTCCATTTTTTTTTTTAATGGTTTTGTTTGTTTCAACAACAGTGTCTATTATAGCTTAGGTTGACCTCCAACTCACTGTATAGCTGAGGATGAACTTCTACTTCTGATCCTCCTGCTTTTACCTCCTGAGAGCTGGGAATACCGATGCAATACCACACCTACTTTTTTATGAACCTGGGTCTTGTGCCTGCTACACAAATATTCAGCCGAATGAACTACATCCTTATCTCCATGTCCCATATATTTTATTAGCATATATTAATTAGTTTTTGTGATATCATTCTAACAGTAAAACTGTTATTTACAGTTTTATTAGGAAGTCTTATGGATAATAACAGAGCTCTAAATTTCATGATCTCATCTAATCTTATTTTTAATGCACTGACAATAGTTCAAATGATAGTTTCAATCATTAGCATCATTCTGTGTTTAAACATAAGTTACGGGAGCTAGTTATTTTACAGAAATTAATCTTAAATTCCATGTAATATTATTCAGTATGTGTTGTGTGAGTGCCAATTAACACCTAACCGGCAGTCCTGCAACCTGATTAATATTTCCACTCACTACACAAAGTGATTTTGAAAATTCCTGTGGAGGTAATTGCAAACTTGTTTTAGGTGCAAATGCATTGATTTAGTTATATAGTCAGCACAGTCAAATCTGAGGGTGGCCTACAGAAGGCATGGTTGTACAATATTTTTTTCTGAGTGTAATTGTCAAGAATACTTCAAATTGAAAATTAGGAAATAGCAAATGGTGACCCAAAGAGAATAAATTTCATGTAATTCAAGCTCAAACTTTATTTCACAACTTCAATACTTATCATCTATTTAAAGTAACTTCACAAAATGTGAAATTGAAGATCATATCCTTACAAATGTCACAAAATTTGTGTAAATGAGAAAGTTCTATTGTATAACTTCAAAACATTAAAATATTTTTATTTATTATTTTTATTTTATGTGTATGCACGTATTGCCTGCATGTTGGTAAGTGCACCCCAGTGGTGTGTTGCCCGCGGAGGACAGAAGAGGTTATCGGATCCCCTGGAACTGGAGTTACAGACAGTTGTTGGCTGCTTTAAGCATGTTTTTCTTTTAATATCTGAGGTGAGGAGAAAGGTGATATTTTGGAGTTTTTCCTCACATAGAGGGCAGCATGTTGCTCTTCAGCATTGTAATGGAACTTGCTTCACAGCCTACCCTCACCCAGAATCTAGTATTTACGTTGTTAGGGACAAGGGCTAACATTCCTGATTTTATAGTATCTTCTTCAGCTAATGGCAATAAGAACCCTAATACTAACCACCACAATAAAGAATGGCCCTCAATGAACACCTGCAATGTGCCATACATTGTGCTCACTGATTTCAGTATATGATTTAATTTTCAGACTAGTGTTAGGAGATAGTATTGTAATAGTTGATGGATGAAAAAATGAGTCAAAACAGCCATTAAGGGTGGATTAAACTCATCTTTTTATTTTAGAATTATTGATCTTCACTACAGAATTGTATTGATGTAATTACTAAGTGAAGTAACACAATCTCAGAAAAAAATTGACATATGTTCTCCCTCATATGTGGATCCTAGGATCAGACTCTGATAAATAATTATGCAAACAGACATAACTGCAGGAACCAGGACAAGGGTAAGGAAACAGTGAGGTAAAGGAAAAAGAAATAACCTGAAGGAGAAGAATAGTAGGCAACAGACCTTAAGAAGGGAGATTTGGATAAAAATTGGGTTA